TTTTATAGCTAAGTAGGAATAAAGACTAAGATGTGAAAGCAAGACTGGCCAACTGTATCTTTTTGGTAGCTTTTGTATGAAGAATGGTGAAAAGTGAAATTGTTACAAGTGCTATTGTCCTCTGTCACTGATTTTTAATTGCTGTGGGAACGATCCCTGCTGCTGCTTACCTTTTTCAAGTCTTCCTTTAAGTCTATTTCTGTTAGTTTAGGAAATGAAGTGGAGCCAAAAATATCCCATGAATGACAGCTTGAATAACTCCATGAATTACAGTTGTGCAGTGTAGAGCTACATAGATTATTTTTCAGAATTTAGAGTGCCTACATTCTGAGTGTTAGTCTAAGTTCAGAGTACTTTTACATGGTATTTCAGATGCAACTCATCCACATAAAAGTAGTGGCTTGGCCAAAAGCACGTGCATAATAACCTTAGTGTGAGCTGTCTATAGAGCTTCAGTGGCGCTCTTCTGAAACGCTGCTTCCTTGTTTTGGGTTTGGGAATGATGTGTGTTCCTTAGAAGTTTTCCGAAATTGCAGTTTGTGCTGTAGTGAATAAAGCCGGGTCAGTGAAACTTGAAACTTTCCATTTATAGGGGATTGCTCCAAGGTACTGTTTTGTAGAGTCTGTATAGGAGCAACTTGTACTTGAAATTTTCTTCAAATACTGTGAAGACTCTGAGTCTTCAGCATGCTGTAAAAATTAGAGCCCTAAAAGATGACGTCTTAGGAAATCTCTCTGGCTTTGCTTACGTTTTCCATTGAATTGAGAGATCTGTTATCTGCCATTATTTTTCTAGTAAAACAAGGATAACCTATTAGCAGTATCTGTCTTGCATCATGAGTCTTTCAGGTTAAAAAATACCCTTTTCTTGAATAATCCTCAGGTTTCCTCTAAGAATGAGTAAGTACTTCTCTGCTCTTCTTGACTGCAGCAGAAACAAATACACTATCTTTGTATTCCTTAAGAGAAGCTTGTATTTTCTTAGTGAGGCCCCAGTCAGAATTCCTTAGAGACAAAATTACAAAAGTAAAGATGAGGCATGCTTGCAGGGATTTTCTGAATCATTGGTGGGGCTGCTATCTCTGTTTCCAGGAACAGATTAGACTAAGAGCTCAAAATCCCATCAGTTTTTTGTGCCTTTGTGTTGCATCAGCTCAGTCTGAACACGTGAAGGTTTGGTGCCCAGCACACAGATATTGTACTGAACGTGGACTCCCTTGGTGGTCAGCTTCTGTCTGGGATGTGGAAAGAAAGAGCAGTCTGTAGGTGGCTCCTATTAGATCTCAGCAGGCCCTTAGAAAATCTATGAACTATTCCCGGTCAGAGTCTTTTATCTTCACAAACAAACCCCTATGGATTGAGCACATCGAAAGAAAATAACAATTATTTTTAATGGCACCTTGTCTTGAATGAATGAACAGATACTTTTTGATACAAGTTTGGTGGTGTTGGAGTAATGGAAAACAAAGCAAACGATAGGCCAAGGTGCGTATCTTGCTGTATTTTAAAAATTCTTCTTGCTCTTTAGTGCATTCTTCTTTTGACTTTGCTATTTTGCTTCATATAAACTTGATGCTTTGTCCTGATGAATGTTGATGGGGAGGGGACCAGGCAACAGTTTACAAAATGAATTTTTTTTTTTCCCTCTTGCCTTGTTTGTGTCCCTCTTCCCCCAGCTTTGTCCATTTCAGTGTGTTAGCTTCAAGTGTGGTATAGCCTATGGTACAGGTGCAGGCTGGCATTGCAGGAGTGCTGTATTTCCATGAGCACTCTTAAGAGCTGGCGCAGCTTCTGGCCTCACACCATTCTCCTGCCATCTCCTGACTGCACCCACACTGGCGTTTGTATGGCTCTTGGGAGGTAGATTGGAAGGCTTAAAACTGTTTTCTTCTTGACACATGGTACAAGATCGCAGGAGTGATCTGAAGATTTGCTGTATGATTGTTTGCTCCACTGAGTAGGATGATTAATGGGTGTGGATTTTAGCAGGGGGCAGGAAAGGGGATCAGGACTACATATGATGGCAGTACTTGACTGAACCTGGAACTGCAGTGTGACTTACGACTGCCTTGGAAAGTTAACACTTCCTGAGGGTCAAAACAATTTGTGGACCTAGGTCTAGACATGTGCATTAGTGTTAGAGTTGTGCTAGATTTAACATCTTGTCTGTGAGGATTTCCTTGCATATCCAGACTAGATTGTTTAATATATCACAGCTGCTGTTTTGAGAGTTAAAATCTATGGACTATGAATATCAATGCTGTAGCATTTTGAAGGTAGTGGAATCCGTGGGTGTAGAAAGCTTTTGGCAATGGCAGTAGCCTCATGATGAATGACTACAGTTCTTTCCCCTCGCTAAAGCTGTAAACACAAAGACAAAATTATATATTCTACCACAGCACCACTGCTCTGTAGTTTTCAGAAATTCCTTTTGTCATGAGTGGGTGATAACTGTCAGCTGACACAATGTGACTTGCTTTCTCTGAAACATAGTAGAGAAAAGTTACTAGTCTATGCAGCTCACCTACTACTTTCATTTTCCAAGTGGTTTGTAAGATTGCCTAACCATAGCTATGTAACCTGTGATGTAAATTAAACAAAATACTGATGTAGCAGATTTCTGGACTGGTAACAGATGCCTTCTATGTTAGGAAACGTGATAGGTTTTAGTATAAACATGGGGAAGGTGGCTGCCTGCCTTGAGTGGATTGCTTGGTTTGTTTATTTGTAGTGTTAGGGAGAAAAAGACACACCTATACTTCAGATTTATTATATCTGAATGTCACTCTGTCATAATCACCAGTAGTGATTATGCTGCTCCATATGGTGTTTGGTGGTTTGTTAAAAAAGAACCAAAAAACTCCTGATGAGGGTAAGGAAAGAGAGTAAGTCAAATATGCTCTTAATATAGGCAGGTGTTTCAGAAGGAAAAATGTATCTGGGCAGCCACGTGCTGCTGTAGGACAGCTTCTTGCAACAGGGGATCAGTACTGGTAGCATGAAGCTCCCTGTAACAAAAATATATGTGGTGTTAAAAAAAAAAAAACCACCCAAGCATTTTGCTTTTTCTTTCTGTAAAAATGCTGTGATATTGACTGGGGCATCTTGCCAGTTGTATGGTCAAGTGGGGAGAGATGTCTTAGAAGCTGGTGGTCAAAACAATGAGGTAGGTGGGGAATATTGCTAATAGTAAGGGTGCTTTTGATGCTCTTACTCCTAGGAGTAGCTTCACTGAAGTTGGGACTTGAACAGTCCCAAAAGTCCCAATGCCAGGAAGGGCAACCTAACAAAAAGGAAGACTTCTTACTGTTTGTATTTTAGGTCCTGAAATGGTATGCTTGCCTTTCTGCCTCAGATTGTATTTTAAGCCTCTTCGTCTGCTAGAACACCATTTTTATGGAATTTAATGGTATGGTAGCTAAATGCCACCTGCTGCCTCCTCTTTTGTAGTGGTAGCAGCAGCAAAAGCCATGTTTCTTATTAGTGGTGTGTGCATTTTACAGTTGCCACTCCTGTCTTGCTAAGATCCTTATTTTCACAGGCAGACAGAACAGTGATGGAGGCCTCGGCTTGCCTGCATCCAGAGAATGTGTTTGCACTGGCAGCCAGGGTATAGCTGATGCAAGTAGAGTTTTGGACTCTGTTCAGATTAGTGGGCTTCTGCTGTTCGTCCCCCAGTGTCCCCTCTTTTCCCACTTTTCCTCACACCCATCAGACTTACTGGCTTGGACATGTATATGACTATTGATTGTTGAGATATAAATTACTATTTGGAGCTAGAGACTGAAATGAGGAAGTTGGGAAAACCAAGTGTTCATTCCTTCTCTTGTATTCTCTCAGCTGCAGACTTTGAAAACAACGTCAGGAGAGTGATGTTCAAACAAGTTTCCTTTACTGTGTCCCATCATAGTAAGATTCCTAAATGTTGTCTATGAAGCTGGATGGGTTGAAAAGGTCAGTAACTAGAGCTGATCTGGGGCATGAGGAAACATAACTATCTACTACTTAAGAATGCATATTGCAAAACTCAGCTTATGTATATGACTGGGTCACATCTAGGAAAGTCCAGTCACTGCCTGTACTGCCATAAAGTACAATTTTCTTTTGGTTAACAAAGGTGGTTCCTTCCAAGCGAGTGGAGGCTTGAAATGGGAACTGCTGCTTGTCTGTCATAGGCAGCACTCGTGCAGTCAGCTCGCTAGAATGCGAGGGCTGTGTGAGTGCTTTGTCTTCCCTGCTCTATTTAACAGTTTATCCTTTGTGGTTTTTTTGTTTTTCCCTTTGCATTGCATTTTTGCAGAGGTGGTTTAGTTACGATACTCTGAAAGGCTGTAGTTCTCAGAAATATTTGACAACAGTTGAGGGTGAACCTTATCTCTAGTGCACGTAAGGAAGCAAGAAAACGGAACTCTGCAGTTGATCAGTTGTTTAATGGTGGGGCTTTTCTTCTTGAGAATAAGACCTCTGAAGAAGTACCAATTTGGTAAAGAAACATTAAAGTGTGGAAAGGGTGTCTTTGTATTTAGCAAGCTGTAGACATTGAGGTTTGCCAGATAACCACTTCTAATGTCTTGCTAGCTGGGTTGTTGGATGTGCAATCCACAGGGTGTGTTCAGGCTTTTGCCTAAGTCCAAGCAGCCATGTAAGTAAAATGGTTTTGAAGGAGTGAGAAAGCAGATTAATGTCAACATGCTGATGCAGATCTTCCTAGGCTAAATGTATAGCTAGTTTCCTTTTTGAGTGTCCCTCCCTGTTACCACAAAAGGATGCCTAAAGAAGATAGGGTTATTAAGCTGCAAATACTAGAGGGAGTTTGCTTAGTTTAGTAAAAGTTTCTGATCTGACTTTGAACATATCTCTTGAATGCCATGTGGTACAGGTTACTATAATCCCTTTCTGAACAGAGCAAAAGATCTGGAAAAGAATCCTTTAGTCTTAAAATCTATGACTGCCTAATTCTTCTCATTCTTTCCTTCTGTACAGACGCTGTGCTATAGAAGATGCACTATTACAGATATTCTAATGTGGAAGTCAGCTGTTGGTACAAATACCTGCTCTTCAGCTATAACATTGTCTTCTGGGTGAGTACAAAATGTAGAGACTGAAATACTTTAGGCATACCTCAGTTTTATTAGCTGCTTACGTATTTATTCAAGAGGACAGGCTGAAATAGTTACCTGAAAGCAGGGAGCTGATGTATGGTGTGTCCTTGGTGTTTTGGAATTGAAGAAGCCTATCCCATGTGAGAAAATATTATTTTCAATTATTATTATTGAAAGTGATATGGATACTGATTCCTCACAATCTTTCTCTTCCTAACTCCTTCATCCCACCTTACCTTCTGAGTGAAGATGAGAGTGTAGCAGGTAAAGCTGGTTTTATTGTTGTAGGGTTTTTTTTTTTTAATGGAGAAAAGAAAGATCTGCTTAAAGGATTTGTCAAAAGAAAATAGTGTAGTCTCTACTGTTCCTGAAAAGGCCTCTGTCTTTTGAATGATGGAGACCATTATATGCTGGTTGTGTTTGGCTAAAGGTTAAAGCTGCCTTCTTTAAGCACACTTAAGTGGTATGTTAAGTTGCTTCCTCATTAAGAGAAGTATCTTCTAATATCTCCTTTTAGATCATCTCTGATCTCTGTTGTGGTGTGTCGTGTAGCTGTAAATACACTATGCAGAATCACCAAATGTTTTAGGTTGGAAGGGACCTTAAAGATCATCTAGTTCCAACCTCCCCTGCTATGGGCCAGGACACCTTCATATCTAATTGAAATCTCCATGCTTCCAATTAAACCCATTACCCCTTGTCCTGTCCCTTACAGGCCCTTGTAAAAAGTCACCCCCCTCTTCATGGAGGCCCCCTTCAGGTACTGGAAGGCTGCTATAAGGTCTCTCCGGATCCTTCTCTTCTCCAGGCTGAACAAGCCCAGCTCTTTCAGCCTGTCGCCATCGGATAGTAACTCCAGCCAGCCCTATGAGCATTCGTGACCTTCTCTGGACTCACTCCAACTGATGTCTGTCCTTCTTATGTTGGGGGCCCCAGCGCTGGATGCAGAAATCCAGGTGGGGTCTCACAAGAGCAGAGTACAGGGGCAGAATCCCCTCCCGCGACCTGCTGGCCACGCTTCTCCTGATACAGCCCAGGATACGGTTGGCTTTCTGGGCTGCCCGCGCACACTGCCGGCTCATGTTCAGCTTTTCGTCCCCCAGTACCCCCAAGTCCTTCTCCTCAGGGCTGCTCTCTATCCACTCTCCACCCAGCCTGTACTTGTGCTTGGAAATTGAAGAAGAAAAGAAAGGAGTTGACCCAGCGATGTGTCAACAGCTGGTGTTACAACATAGTCAAGATCTTAATTTTCATGCTCTGTTGGCAGCAAAATTATCTGATACTATATTGAAATATTTAGCTAGGGACTAGCCTGCCTATAATGCTTGTTTAGAATTGTGAATGTGAGGAAGTTGCAAAATAAGGTCTGTGTTTTTACACTTGCATGTTGGTCAAAATCACTGAAGCACCTAAGTACCTTGGGGAAGAATGCCATTCAAAGGTTAGTGCTTAGCATTGCATTAGAAATAGTTAACCTGTGTGAGGGGGAGGTGAAGGTAAGGATGCAGTTCAGATAAACTTGCTTTCCAGAACTTGCAGGTCAAATGTTAGTTCACGCCTGAAGTCATGGAAACTCTAGTTGTAGAAAGGCATGGGTAGTCATGGAAAAGTGTTGATGCAGTGACGTGCCTGGTGCTAGCAGTTTGGATTAAATTTCTGAATTAGAGTTGAAATATTCTTAGTATGGATAGGCTCTTCTAAAGATGTTTTAGATTCCACACACCACCACACCACCACCCCCAAAGCCAGAAGGATCAGGTAGTAAGAATGGAAGTACGGTATGCGGTTGAAGTAACTTCTTTTAGTTAAGAGTGAAAATTGATTCTCCTGATCCTGACTCGTCTGAGATAAGTAAACATGCTAGAGAAGACTATATTAATTTTATTAATTTACTGTGGTTCCTTAAACCATGTCAACATTTTACTACTTAAAAATTAAGGTAAATTATTACCCAAATCTGGTTTTGACTTCAGTAAAAAAAAAAAAAAGCGGGGGGGGGGGCGAAGGGAAGTTTAGTGTCTGAACATAAATTGCAGATGGCAGAATCATGTTCGTACTTGTCAATAAAGACTTGGTATTTTGCTAAATTAACGTACATAAACTTCTGGTAAACTAGGTTGGCATTTCTGCACATTTTGGCTGCTCTGGCAGTATTTAAGGTAGAAAGTAAGGCTTTTGAAAAGCTACGATGGACAAAACTAATTTAGAATCATAACATCTAGGTTTGATGGAACTTCTGGAATTCGTCTGGCCCAATTTTCTGCTGAAAGCAAGACCTGTAGGTAGGAAATAGCTGCTTGAACAGAAGAGCTGAGAGTCTTGTGACCTGCTTACTCATCAATTTTATGCTGTCTTCAGCATAATAAAAAATTAGAAGGCAAGATAATACTGAGACTGCAGTGTCTGGGTATTGTTGAAAACCACAGAACTTCTTGCTGGTGTTCTCACCTCTTGTTTACTAGTGCAGTGTTTTAACATGATATTGTAGCATTAGGCCACAGGGGAGTTCATCCTTGTGTGGATAGCAGGGCAGAAGAGATGTGTGTGGTTTGTGTAGAAACTGTTTTCCCAGTAGCTGTGAATTGGTCACAATATTGCCATAGTGCAGATGTTCATTAGTGGTGATTTTTTTTTTTCCCCTTAGCAATTAAGGATTCTCATTATAGTCTCATGTATCAAAAAGTATGTGCTCAAAGGCCACCAGCTCTGTAGTTATTTTTCTTATTCTATATAGTACAACTTCTGTGTACCTGTAGTGGAGCGTGGTGCAATAACAAGTAATATTTGTCAAACTGCTCTGTTTTTCTGCTCTGGAACTGGGTGCATGCTCTTCAGCAGATAGTGTGGGGAATGTGTGAGAAATCGGCAGATTCTTTTGTTCACTAATATATTGGGGTTGTTGCAGACCTCTGCATTCTTTCTAGTGAATGTCTCATGGGGTTCTAGTGTTTTGCGGTAAACAACCTTTGAAAAACTGAATTTATTTGTCTTTACTGGAAGACTATCAAGAATTTGCCTCTGCTTTTTCACAGGACTTAGTTTTATCTCTTTTCTATTTTCTTTTTTATTCCCTGCAGTGTCATCACACTTCACTCTTTTCAAATTTCCCTTTTTACTGTATTCTCTTAAAAATAATAAAGAAGATCCAAGGCTTTTTATTTTCCTTGAAGAATCATTTTTAAAGAAGAGATGCAGAAAAATTAAGGAGAGTTTGAAATTCAGCTTGTGTTTTTCAACTGATCTGTTGACTGGAGGAATTGGTTTTCTGAACAGGTACTTAGTAGTCTTGGTTGCTTGATCAATGAATGGTCTGACGCTTCTGCTGAGAAGTTATCAGGCTGACATTAGTACATTGTGTGTAACTACAGCTCTTGTGATAAGAGTGCAGTACTTCTAGTTGTAGAACAAGCTATGTAAGTGCTGAGTTGGGGGATAGACACTCCTGTAGGCAATGCATGAATCAGCTGACAGTGATTCAGGGGCCTATGACGTTGGGTTGCCTGGGATGACTAGTCTAACAATCTCTTTAACTGGACAAATCCATAGTGTGTAGAACTAAGTAGATTTTCTACGTGCCCTAAAAGAACCGAAGGACTGCAAGATCAGAAGGGAAATGTAACCATGACTTGAAAAAGCAGCGTTTAAGGACACTTCACTTTTCTTGGCTTGCAGGACAGGTGCTTGTGGGAACTTGTTATATGAGTGTTAGTGTCAGCGAGTGGCCCCTATATAATGGGTGCAAGGGATGGTATTTAGGTGTGCATACAGCCCATTGCCCACTTAGACTGTTTTTGGAGGTGTGGTGGTTGCTCACCTGTGTCTCAACTCATGACACAGTTTATTCACAAGGCAGGTAATTTGCATGCAAATAGGGTTGCATTCGTTCTTCTGTCATGCTTACTGACGATGCATGTTGACTTCCCCATTGTAGCACTAAAAGATCGTATCAGTGACTGTATAAAGCTAAAGCATATGGTGACTTAGTGACTAGTTTACAGAGTAGTTAAACGTTTTAGTGGGTGGTTACTTTTCTTCAGTTTGTCATGTTTCAAATTCGGTCCACAGATTGGGGTGGAACAGAATATTGAACTCAGAGAACATATATGACTATTAACAATGGCAAGATCACAGTTTAATCATCCTTTAGAAATCTGTAAGCCCTTATTCTTTGGAAGGTTTATTTTTTTCAGATGGGCAACTTGGCAGCAGAAAGTTCAGTTCTGCTGGCTATGAGTTAGTTATGTACCACTGGCTTGCAAAATCACTCCTCTGTTCTTTGTGCCTGGATTTCCCTTGTAAGAAAGGGAAAATGGGGGTCTTAGGAAGGCTCTGTCTTCCTATGCACAATTTTAACATGGGATTGCTTTATTTTCATTGTTTTAAGCATGCTTAATAAGATTTAACTTCTCCAAGTACACTTGTAATACTGCCTCATCACTACTCATTAAATCAACTATTAAGATAACCCTGCAGGGAGTGCTCAGAAGTTTAAGTGAAATTACCCTATTACAACAAGGCTGGACCACCTTTTTATTTTTTTAAATTTTTTTTTTAAAGCTTGCTTCCCCCCTGCCAAATAGCTTAATTTGTCATAATGAAATGAAGACTGCAGTAATACAAGGTGAAGAGCTTGGCTCTGGCCCTTTTTGTTCTGGGTCATTTTGCAGTTGAGTGAGTCCTTCTATGAAAGCCCCAGTGGTGAGTGGAGGCAGGGGGTGCACAACTGGCCCCAGGGGGAGTGCAGGGGGTGCAGCACTGCTCTGTGCCTTCCAGCCTGCTCTTGGGAAGGTCTGGGGGAATAAAAGGAGGTGCCTCAACCACCTGTGCCTGGTGCTTGTTGCTTTTTCTCCAGTCGAAGGACTTTTGGGGATAGTCAAAGAAACTGCATCTCCGCCAGGACATGGCTATTTCAGAGAAGTGAAGGATTTCGTGTGTGCTCTACCAAAGTTTTTTAGGTTGCATGTGAGCTCACTGTCTCTCAGATGAATTGAGAGGAGAGGGTAAAAAGCTTTTAGTTGCTGTCATCTTGATTTATCTTCTAATGCTCTGTAGCTTTGTGTGTGGCTCTTAAGGGTTTTTGGAGAAAAAAATAAAACTTTTTGCTCTTGCTATAGGAGATGTGGCATTTTTATGCTAAACACAATGATGAAGGGCAAATATTCTCTTAAGCTTTGGAAAAGAATTCTGTGCTCCTTTCTGAAAAACAAGAGAAAGACCTAGGCTAGCATAAGATATTCTTGGGTTTTACAGCGTGTGATGTTTTTCAGAACATCTGAAACAGCGAGGCCTGTGCCAGGAAAAGGAAAGAATCCACCACCGGGTGGCTTCCTGACCCTGAGAGGAAAAGTGGGAAGAGACAAGGATAGGCAGGAAGGTCTGTAGGCTGCTGATTGCTCCAGCATGGGTGGAGCTACAGTGTAAAATACTATTGTCCAGGGGCTGGAGAAAGTGTTCTCAGTCTTACTGACATTTTGGGCTTACAAAAAGTGGTGCAATAGGAATGCATTCCCATTGCTTCTAAGCAGACGCTGAGGCAGGCTGACCCAAAATCAGTGTGTGTGCAAGGGTTGACTTGCAAGAATTATGTTTAGCTGCAAACTAGATACGAGAAACAAATTAGACCTGTTTTCTCATTTAGTAGGGTGATTTGAGTAGCATAGTCAACAGAATTCTAAGTGTAGCTGGGAATGGATAATGCTTCAGCTAAGTGGTCTTGTGCACAGTGTCTGTGAGTTGGTGTCAGTCTTGTACATCTTTGGAGCAGAGCTTACAGCTCGATGCAGTATGTTAAATGTGTGGATTTTTTAGTTCTAAAGCAGGAAATGAGCAAATGCTGGTTACTAGTTTCAGTTTCCTGTTCAAAGGCGTACAGTTGAGCTGCTTTGTGTATGTTTCCATCTAACCTTTCATGCAGTCTATGTCTTAAATGACTACAGCATAAAAGTGAGTTGGGTAGTCCAGTTTGTTCTTGCTCAGACATCATCCACATTGTGGTGAAAGGCAATTTCAAAATCCCTCTCTAAAAATAGCTGGCTTGCTCAATACCACCCTTAGAACACTTTTGGTTACCATTGCTACTTTTCAGCTGCCTCTTCTCTTGTTCATGTGGCCAGTTCAGTGAGCAGATGATGGAGTTTAAAAGTTTTCTTTCGGTTTGGGCTGGATCAGTTCCCTGGTCTGCTTCATAGCAGTCACTTGAATGCCTGTGTGCAAGAGTGGTAAAGAGAGGGTATTTTCCTGGTGCTATTTCTCTGTAGAACTATGTATTGGGTATGCTCAATCATGCTAACTTCTGAGGGGCCTTTATCTCCATGGTGTGTTTTACAATAGTTTTTAGTGAGATACTGTTAAGTGTCTTGCACATGAATTATGAATTGCTTGTGTCTTAACTGAATTAAGTTTTAGATTCATACATGTTGATTCTGTTTATTTTTCTGCTAATGAACTGTTTTACTTGTAGGTAGTTTAGAAATAGGTATAACTTTGCAAAAATTATGAAAACATGAGCGGTGTTTGTGTTCAGAGGTAAAAATGAAGCATGGTAGTGGAAAATCTATTTAATCAAGAATCTAGTACAATTTAATTAAGATGGTAATGATGATGAAAGGCAGCCAGTCTGAAGAAGACACCCTATTTCTATGTTCAATAGCACAGCAGTAGTGTTACGCTGACAGTAGTTTGTATACAGAGTGTGGAAGATGGGTATCTTTCCAATTCTTTTCCCCCTCATTTCTTCAGAAAAAAAATCCTAAAGATCCAACTGTGTAATTCACCCTGAGTACTCCAGATTATACCAGTAGTCTTCACCTGTCTCCCCGCATTCCTGGAGCTGTTGGAATGAGAAAGGGTTGAAGGATCATCAATTGCATGCACTGTGTAACTTAATGACATACCAGTTTGAATATTGATTTTTTTTTTCTATTTGTTTCTTCATCTGAAATTCACTGGGTAAAGATTTAACAGTAATCCAGGTCAATATTCTGTTTATATCCATGTGGTTTTAATAGTATTTTTAAAGCTGTGCTTTGATCCAAATCATCATTTTCAATGTACTTATCTTATTCAGAGTCTGAGATGAGTAGTCATTGTGCTGTTGCTTATTAAGCAACATCTGGAAATTGGAACATATTTAGTACTGCTTTGCCCAGTTGTAACTCTTTCCATATATAAGTAGTGGATTTGGTTGGTTAATCTGTATGCTTCAGCCCTAAAATAAGGCATACTTCATGTCTAGACAAGAGTGTCTAACATCATTTGAGTAATTGTTACACAATGACATGAATGATCTTTGCATCCCTCTTTGGCTTTCCTTTCCCCACTCTCCCCAGCAGGGTAAACCTAGAACAGCTTCACTGCCCTGAGTGCAGTTTGGTGTCAGCAGGCAGTGAACCCAGAAGTCCTTAAAGGCTACACTTGTATTTTCTTGTGTGACAGTAAGGGCGTCCCATTATTCCTTCATGTCTGTGCTGTGGGAAATTGCCTGTAATGCCCATTTAGTTCATGGAAGAGCTGCGTTTCCTAGAGGAAAGGAGACCTGTTTCAAGGAGTGGTGGTGGGTGGTTTTTTTTTTTTGGTTGTTGGTGTTTACTTGTCAACATGTGTAAGGCTTTTGGGGGTGGAGGCAGAGGGGAAGGGAAAAGCAACTTCAGTCCTTTAGAATCATAGGATTGCTTAGGCTGGAAAAGACTTTTAAGATCATAAAGTCCAATTGTTAATGTAGTATTTCCAAATCCACCATTAACTTGTGTCCCTGAGCACCACATCTCCATGTCTTCTAAATACCTCCAGGGATGGTGTCTCCACCACTTCCCTGGGCAGCCCATTCCAGTGCCTGATGACCCTTCTGGTGAAGAAATTTTTTTGGAGCAACTTGAGGCCATTTCCTCTTGTCCTGTCACTTTGGAGAAGAGACCCCCCCACCCCCACCCCCCGGCCTTATTTTCCTTTCAGGTAGTTGTAGAGAGTGGTAAGGTCTCCCCTGAGCCTCCTCTTCTCCAGGCTGAACACCCCCAGCTCCCACAGCTGCTCCTCACAGGACTTGTGCTCCAGACCCGTCCCCAGCTCTGCAACACTTCTGGATAAGGTCCAGCACCTTTTAAGGTTATGTGGACATAGTGGGGTAGAATGCCATTTTAAGTAATGAGGGCGAGCTGCCCTCAGTTTTTAGAGAGGTCATTTTAGTGTGATTATTGAAATTGGATCATTAAAGACAAACTTCCTGAAATGGAGGAAGGGAATAAAATACTAGAACAAGGAACTCTTGCTTCATTTTGATGAATATAAATCAGAAATATTTATTATACAAACATATGAATTGGTGTAGGGTTTATATGTTGTTAGTTAAATTTGTTGCTTACTGAAAGTAAGTAGGTGGACCATTACTTCACTTGATTCAAAAAAGCATAAATAAGGTAAGGATGCAGAAGACAAACTGTCTAATTAGAGATGAGGCTCATACAGTGAGCCTTCACACTGAGAAGTTATGAAGAGTCAAGCGTGGCTGCTGTCCAGGGGTATTACTATCAAATGATTAAAAAGGGAATAACCTCAAAATGCATTAAATAGTCTGAAAACTTCATTATTGTGTAGGCAAAAGGTTTAGAGTTAAGTCATTGGGACAAGGATAACTCCCACTTGCACACTACTATGTGGAATTGTTAATTGTTATTGAGTAATCATGAATAATCAATTTAAAATGCTTTTAAAACATGGTTTATAAAATGCAAGAAAGCTATGGAACAAAAGCACTTTAAATCCTTTTTGCAAGTGATTGACTCAGGGCGAGGAATGTCCTGTTACTGTTGTCTGAGATTACAACATTTGTTTTACTTGAGCAACAAGTGCCACTGGCTAAGTGTTTGAGAATGTGTTGATTAGTGTATCTAATTAATTTTTCCTTTTTTTTTTTCTTCAGCTAGCTGGGGTGGCTTTCCTTGCAGCTGGTCTGTGGGCGTGGAGTGAAAAGGTAAGGGTAGAAATGACTCGTCTGTCTTTGGCTGCTCTCTCCTATCCCTAACCCTCAAGAAGCAGCAACGGTTAAATGTAGCATCTGAGCTCAGGCCCATGTTTAGATGATCTAAAGAGAGTTTAGTTAGAGTTTAGTTCTTGTCCCTGGTCAAGTGTTGAGCTGTGGGCCTTGATGTTTAGACCTTTTTGTAAACTTGTAAGAGCAGGTTGTTAGAAATAATTTAATCTTTATGAACTGTTTCTCTTCTGAAAGCATGTTTTCTAAAATAGACTTACCTACCCACCTCTTTTTATTAAAAACAAGAAACATTTGGGAGAAATGTAAAAACTTTTTTTATATTTAAAAAAAACAAACCAACCAAACAAAAAAAACTCACCAAACCCGAACCGCGGATACGTGTCTTTGAGACCATCTTTCTGAAGCATTCCAATCTTCAGGTTGTCTGTCTTCTACTTTTCTTCTCATGGAGCTAATTAAGTGATTGTCTCCATGTAGAGTGACAAATGTGGGGAACATGATCTAATTGATCATGTTCAGAGTCTGAACATGGAGGAAGTCTGTGTGGCATGTGCCTACAGAGTTCTCCTGTTACAAGTGATGGCATAGGTATGGAAATGAATGGTTCACCCACTTGCTGTGAATGTAAAAGCATGGCTTTATACGACTACAAGCAGTAGGAAAATGTGACAATTACTAGCAGGTTTACTGATCTGCATCTTCAGTAGCAGTGGGGGGCAAGTGTCCTCCCTGTTCAGTTGTACTGCTGCATAGGAACACTTACCATCGTAGTGTAACATTTCCTTAATCAGAGTGCTTATAAGCAGCAGGTACCCACGTACAGAGAGGTTCTGGGATTCCTTCACTTTTTGGAAGTGAGGGTTTTATGATGATCTTAATGCTGAACTATTTATTCTCCTTCTCCCACTTTCTGTGTGCATGCACATATTCTTACAATTAGATTAGTGATATCTGATACATAGTAAGCAGCCTATATTCACCCACAAAAGCATTTACTTCCTATTATGTTGTTATAAAAGGATTTTCTTTTCAACCCTTCAGGGAGGGTGTTAAATTTGTCTTGTGTTTGTATTCTCTCATGTTCAGGCATTATATTCTGTTCTTTAAAGAAGCACATAAGATCTGTGTGGTCGGAAATTACTAGCTCAGCTACATCCATTTGCCAAATGGACTTCATGGTATACTGTCTTTGCCTTTTAGTGACATCAGACTCTTTCAGTCTTTATTCCTTAAATTTTTCCTGAACTGTGTCTGTGGTCTGCCCTAACTTGCATATAAGTGCTTCAAAGTTTTTCCTGTGGTTTTGAACTTCTGAATGGCTCATGAAATCTCTACATTATTTTTGATGTCTGTTGTTCTGTGCAGTGTGGGTAGTCTTTCATAGTAGTGCTATTCTTCAGCCATAGCGCCTGTATGCATCTGTGTGTTTACAGATAAACATCTTGGTGGTCAGTAGATGGGAAGTAAGTGAAAAACATTCCAGAAGCTGTGCTGTGGTGGTAAACCCAAAGATAAATTACAGATGGTGGAAGAGTTTTTAACATCCTGTGTCTTAATGCAACACTAAGTACACTGGATCCCTTTAATCTCTATGTTTTTTCCTGTCTTTCTCTTTTTCCACTAGGACTTACACTTCAGTTTGATTCTTCAGCAGTTTTTTGCTGGATAGATGTTACTATGTCACCCAAGAGATACTGCGAAATACGCTAAGAGAAAGTGAATTCTAATAAACTGTTAACAGAAGCAAGGTGAATAACACTGAGATGTCTCATCAGGGAAACAGTTTTTATTGGTAAAACCATTTCAAGAAGGACACAAAGGAAGATCTGGGAAGCTAGAGTCTTGGCAGCCTAACTTCATTCCAGCAAGTTCATGGCTAATAACAAAAGAGAAGGGAGCAGTCAGTCTACTTCAAGACTCTTACTTAGAGGGGCTTCAAGAGCATGGAGAAATGGGTTGGCAGGAGCCTTATGAGAGTTTATTTAAAAAACGAGGCAAATGCAGAATCCTGTGTCTGAGATAGAGTAACCCTGTGCATCAGAATGGCCTGGGGGTTGGCTGCCTAGAAAGCAGCATTGTGAGGGAAAAAACCTTGAGCTGCTGTTGTAAGTAAGTTGATTGTCTGGTGTCCCCTCATGTCAAAGCCAACAGCATACCGGGCTTTATTGGCACCAGTGTAGCTAGTGGTTGAGGGAGGAGCTTCTTCCAAGAATATTCAGCACACGAGGCTGTATCTGGAGCCCATGTCCAGTTTTGGACTCTCCTGTGTCAGTCGGGTCTTTTCCAACCTTAACTTTTCCTGTCAGGAAGGGTATTTAAGCTTTAAGCTGCTGATCTTTGTACACAGAGGTGTGTAAACTGTCTAAAGGTATGTGTGTGTAACGTGTTAAAATCCGTGGCAGTATGATATTGTGGCAATCAACATCCAGTTTACAGAACTTCATTGTAAGAAATCAACTCTGTCCTTGTCAGATGTATTTTGTACTTTCCATACCGGTGTATCTCAAAACAGTAGCTAGTTTGACATTTGTTAATGGGCTGTATTAAGAGGTTTTTTTCAAGACAATCTGTGTTTGCCCTCCATTGTCAACACTTCAGTTGAGGTGGTGGCATCATGCTTACAGATACTACAAGAAAGTGGAGAACAGGCTAAGCCTGTACAGTCAAACTCTTAATTCACTGTTCTAAGTCACTGAAAGGGAGACTTAAAGGCTGAGCTTTATTCTTGGGTTTTTTGACACTGGCTTCAGGTATCAGACTTCATTTTTACATGCCTGTAGGAAGTCTAGATGCTGTTGTAAAGGGCAGCCTGTGCTTCAAAGAGCTTTTACCATCCTGCAGATGGCACAGGCAGAAGCATCCTTAGAGAGATGAGTAAGTGGCAAAAGATAGTCCCCTGAATTAATTTTCTTCTTTCCTTGCTTCCTTCAAGATTTTTCACTTAACATCTTTTGTTAGGCACACCCCCCGCCCCCACCCTCTCTTTAAAAAAAAAAATGTTGTAAACATCAACTGTGAGCATGAAGAATCTGTTGTGAACCAGCAACATCCGAGGGTGAATAATAGAGCACAGTTCCTGCCAGCTTTTCTTCATAACATGCTTTGATCAGAGGAAGTTTTCTTCCAAAAGATGTTGCTTGAACAAGTGAGACTGTCTGAAAAAAGCTTGCTTTTCTGTGTGGGAAGGAGATGGCTGGAAATAGTTGTGAGAAGTTTCAACATCCTGGCCAAACAGTCTTTGGTTTCATAGTGTATTAGTTCTACAAAGACATTGAACTAGTGTAGCAAGTAGCTATTCATTTTGTGTCTTCCTTGACTGTGGCGTCTGAGCCAAGGTTTGATTAGGTAGGACTCTCATAATTAACCCCGTAGACCAATCTTGGTTGTTAGCTGTGAGGTCTTACCATTTGTAAGAATGGGAATGTGTCACTGGTGACACTAGAAAAGTCTTTGCTTCCCAAGACTTTCTGGATGCTGGGCTATTTCAACTGCCAATTCTGAATGCTACAATTAAATTATTTTTTTTTTCTTTTCATCCCTTCAACCAGTTTTAGTTAACACATCTGTATCGTCTTGCTGTTGCCAAATTAACAGCTCTAACAAGATCTGTTATGGAATACATTATGAAAGAAGATGAAGTCCTGTGTATTCCTATAGTACTGTTAATCAGTGTCTTTTCATCAGCTGATGAAGTGTCTCCATGTAAACGTTTTTTTTTCCTGATGCTGTGTTTTGAAGACTCTTTTTAAGTAAACATTTAAATACAAAGTGATACGGATTTTTCCAAGGCATTCTCTTAGGATGTATATTCTTTGCAATTAACTCTAGCACAAATACCAGAGTAACAGGATGAGAATTTACATTCCCTTGACAGACTTAGACTGCTTAGGTGTATTACTTTGAGTCTCTCTGATATCTTTCTCTCACATTAAATGTAGCTAGCTTAAGAATATACTCTATAAAGAAAAAAAAGGAAGATAGTAAACATGTAATTATGGGATATTTTACTGTGTTGACTTTTGTTATTTCTATGTTTTAAAGGGAAAGTATTTCCTTATTAAAATAGTTTATGTATTGCTGATGAGTGTGTGATGAACACTCGTACTATTGCAAGGCTGGCTGGATGTCCCTGCAAATTGTTCCTGTTAACTTTGACTTTCAACTGGTTGTCCCTTCTGTCATCTGCATGTTGCATCTTGTTCTTGCACATTACAAGAGAAAATTGTGTTATATGTTTTGATGGAATTAATGGTAGCTGCTATATAAACTTAATTTCTTTAAAACCTAATCTTGCAATAAGGGCTTCACTGTGTTAGCATTACGTTTACATAGGACAGAATTTCTAAGATCTAGACAGAGAGGCTTAATAGATAAGATTATTGTCCAGATAAGTGGTGTCTCTGGATAGTTAAAAAAAAGAAAATATTGCTGCTAAATTAAGAAAACTGCTAGTATCTTACAGGGAATAGATAACTACTTTTGGTGGAAGAATTTTATCTGGAGTAAAAGGGGAATATTCAGACTATACCTCTCTATTTTTGCAAGCTTTTGAAAGAGCATCCCTAAGACTGTTCAGCACTAGAAGGGGTTATAACTAAAATGTTAGAAGAAAAATCTGCTTCCCTTGAAAACTGAAACAAGATTTGTTCCCCTCCCTTAAAATGTCACCCATAACCTGCCTTGTAGCTAGAATGTCTCTCCCTTTCTGCTACCTAAGCATTAGGATTGGAAAAATGTTCTAGATTTTTTTTTTTAAAGACTTTGAATTTGGTGTGCCCTACTGATTGATGCATTTCAAGTTGTTATAAAACATTGATTCTTTTGCCTTGAAACTGAGTGAATATTAAGTCATAATGTTGAGCTTTTGGCACCATCTTGTGGAAGCTTGTTTGGCGAATAAACCTGGGAGAATGTAATCTGAGAATTTGACTGCACTGGGTTTACTTACTAAGAGAATAAATAGCTATAGTTTTGCATTAGTACTTCCTCTGCGAGGGTGAAGAAAATTGGTACTGTTGATAACCGTTTTACAGAAAGGTTTTTCTGTGTGGGTTGCTGTTGGCAAGCTCAAGGGTTTGCAGCCAGTTCATTTGGAAAAATGTGGAAATCATGGACATTCAGAAAGGATATTAAATGAAAAACATTGCTTATAGTGGTTACCTTTTTCTTCTGTCCTGCTTTTCTCGTTCAGGGTGTATTGTCTGATCTGACGAAGGTGACTGGTCTTCATGGTCTGGATCCAGTGGTGCTTGTCTTATTGGTGGGAATAGTGATGTTTACTTTGGGATTTGCTGGTTGTGTAGGAGCACTGAGAGAAAACATCTGCCTTCTGAAGTTTGTAAGTAACATTGTATGAGTGAATTATTATGCATGTGAAAACTGGGAATAGTGGGTGAAGAACAGGTAGAAAACCCAGTTATTAATTTATAGAATTTGATTTGTTACAATGTATATGGTAAACTTATTCCTGAAGAGCCTCTCAGAAATGCTACTAAAAGCAGTGTAGGTTCAAACCTATGTATATTTTCACCTTCCTGGAAAACGTTGATTCCCTTTTTTTCATTCATTCTGCTATACAGTATATAGTATGTATACCAGAATCTAACACTGTGTATGTAATATCACAAAATATGATGATCTGCAACATGCATAGTCAGTTAGGAATTACTCAGAGAAGATGATATACTGGCTTAGGGAGAACAAAATCCCCTAAAAACTGAAAAATTTCTTCTAAATGTTTGGGTGGACAAAACTTGGACCCTTCAGTAACTGATGTGAAATCTCTTAAAGGGTTGATTTTTATACTGAGACTGCTGCTTTGGTTTAGTTCTGAACAGTTAAGCTGGACAAAAAATTATAAAACCAGAAACAATCCAGGAAGTAACATCAAGACTACTTCAGCCCTATGTTTTGCAGATTCTTATTTAGTATGTGCGCTGCTGTGCATTGTGACTGTGGTATGATGCTCATATTCCTGGTGAGATCAGGTGACCAAAACAAAACGATAACTACCTCCTGGGGGTTTCTTTACACTGTATTCTCATTTAACAGGCTGTGTTGTCATAGTATCTGTTCTGAGTGAGAATTCTAACCTACTTCTCTGTTTCTGGTCGAGTTAGAGTAGGGATGCATTTAAAATGACTAATTTCAAATTCTAATTTGAGACTTTTTTTTTTTTACAGTTTTTTTTTGCTGGAGCTGGCAGCGTCAGTTCTGGCTTTCCTGTTCCAGGACTGGGTGAGGGACAGGGTCAAGGAATTTTTTGAGAATAACATTAAATCCTACCGAGACGATATTGACCTCCAGAATCTCATTGATTCCCTACAGAAAATTGTAAGTTCATATCTTGTTACTTCTTCTGTGTGTTCTAGGAGAATATGTAAAGTTCAAAGCTTTCCTTTTTGTTACAGATTTATCGTATTCCATAGCTAATACTGCCATGTTACAGATGTGCTGTTTTGCTCTTTCTGCATGGAAAGCATCAGGCAAGATATTCCGAGATACAATGCTGCTGTAACTGCATGTGTAGAAGCTCTGCCTTTTGACCTTCTTGACTTACTCCCCTGCTGTGATTAGTGTTGCACCACTTTAAGTGGGAAATGAGCAGCAACCTACGTACCCTGAAAAAATTGTGCATTGGGACTGGTAGTATGCACTCTTATTTTAGGAGACACTGAAGTCTTATACAGGGATGCAGCAAAGGGCCTTTTATCTTCTGAGAGGCACCTCGTCTTGAAGCAAACGAGGGTTTTTGTTTACTGGGAAAGGCTATTCTCTAATCAGGCAGTTGTCAAGGAAGGTTGAAACAATTTTATGCTCCTGTGGTCCTAAAATAGTCAGTTACCAGAAGACAGTGATGTATGCCAGGAGATGACCAAGCCTGTGCTAGTAAGGGCCTGGTGGCTTTCATTCAATCAGCTACTTTTGTAATCGTGCCCAGGAAACAGACAGTGAGGGTGACTCTTCTGGTTATTATTGATTTGTGTGTGGTTAAAGAAATATATATGGAGAAAAACAGAGTACATTAAATCAATATTTCACAAAGAGATAAAATGATTGCTTCCTTTATATATTTTTCCCTTTATTAAAGGAGGTTGGTTTTGTCTGTCTTGTGTCTTCTAGTAGATCATGTTTTGGAAATCTGTGCTCACAGTTTGCTTTGATAGCAAAGCCTGTTTTAGAGTGGCTACCAGTTTGGTCAGCTGTATATTACCAGCAGCTTACCTGTCCTGTCCATGCAGCCTTCTGTGCATTGATATGGAAGCATCCTCAGACTAAGTTGTCTGGATGTATATCAGTGCTGTTTTGCTTTAGCTTTCAGTGCTGTGGGCACCTTTTTGTAAGGTGGGGCTCTTCCTGGCCATGACCAACACCAGTAGTTGTCTGTGTTGTCCACTCTGTTGTTGCTCTTTCTGTTTATCTAGTTTCAGTGCAGTCAGCCAGGCTAATATGCTAAGCTGATTTACAGTTGTACTCTAGTTAAATACTTTTCAATGAAAATAAAAGACTGAGCTTACTAAAAGGCATCCACTAGCCAGAGTAACAGGCTAATAAACCTGAAAAAGAAAAGACCTCTGAATCAGCCTGTTGTTAATCCATACCTGAAAGTACTGAGGAGGGAGGGGAGGCATGCAGTGGAACAACAAGGTGTAGCGGTGTGTTGAAATGCCTCACTGAAGCCCATGTTCTAAGGAGCCATTCTCCTTAGGCTGACTTGCTCTGTTCTCAGTGTGTGCCTTGGGACCCAGTGAGCTTCTTGTGGGCAACTCCATGCTCTGGCTAATTATATTACTCTCAGGCCTGTAAGTCACCTCATATGTAGTTTATACCTTACTAAGATAAATTAGCATGTTCAGTGGCTGTACAGCTTTTTTCTAAAGGTGTAGATGTGTGAGGGAGGAGGGACTAGAAGGGCAGAAATTAACCTCTTTTGCTTTCTTCACGGTAAGCTTATTAGTGACCTAAAACATTTTCTCTTGGTGTTTTTTCTGTTCTGACCATTCTGTTAAGCTCTTCTTTTAGTCATATTTCTGTGAAAGCTATGTTTAATTGTGTGAACAGAGAGCAGAATTGTTTACATCTCTGTGTGTGTCACAACTTAATAAGAAACTAGCTTTCATTAGTTCCAGGAACTGAACATTCCTTGAAATGTTGGGATTTCCCCAACCTGCAATTATGGTAATTACGTTACGCTGTTAAGGGTCAAGGAACTTGTGTGAAATACTTCGAGAGTTGACTGGCCTTTGCTCTAGTGAGACTTCACCAGTTGCTTCATTTGGATATGAAAACCTTGTTTAAAAGAAATGGAGTGTATTCACCAATGTTTGCATTTAATTTTTACAGTAAACAAGAAGCAAACTTGTTGATCCATGAAGACTTAAGGATGCTTCTCAAATTTAAAGAAACAGGTTTTCACAGTTTTTCTGGTTTCTGTTGACTTGGAAATAATGGGGTGCAAAACATTTGTATAAACTGTTTTCTTGCATTATTTATAGATGTACACTGGTTGAATCTAGCAATTACACCTAAGGTGATCTTTTTTATGATTCTGCTTGCTGTGCTTGACACCTATTTCCTGGAGCTGTATGCCAAATGTATCGCTTTGATTTCATGGAGCCACAGTACTGATTACTCATTTTTCACACTGATGTTGCCATTGATTCTGCACAGCCTCAGAGAAGGTGAAGATGATGAACGAGTATCATTCCAGAGAGTTTGTTCAACTGTCTCTAAAATACCGCCAAATGCTAAGTGTTTGTTTATCTGTTGCAGAACCATTGCTGTGGTGCCCAAGGTCCGGATGACTGGGACTTTAACATATACTTTAACTGCAGCAGTGAAAGCAAAAGTCGCGAGAAGTGTGGTGTTCCTTTTTCCTGTTGTATACCTGATCCTGCTGTAAGTTGTTTCCTGGTTTTGTATTGCTCTGATGTTGTTGGATAGTTATGAAAGGAAGTACGTACCAAATATGGTGTGATGACTGTGGCTTTAAAGTATCTTCTAAATAATCAAAAAATTCTCTTGTGCAGAACAAACTCTTGTCGTGTTTCTGTTCCATCCTTTTTAGAGTCCAAATGTGTCAACCTGTTATACAGCTGAAAATGTATTGTCATCAGGAATTCCAGATATTTTTGTACGGCTTGAGTCTGGAAGTATTGGTGGCAGGTTTTTAAATTTTTTTTTTTTTTTTAATTCCCAATGCATTGCTTCTTTTGAATTCCTGGCCTCTGTTATCTGGTTTGTTAGGACCTGAGAGCACTAAGCAGGGCATTTTCCCCACCTAGAGTTAATGTTTACACCACAGCGCTGCTAGACAAGTAGGAGTAACTCCATTTGTTTATCAGCAACTGATAAAGTGCTCATGCACAAACTCAGTTTAAAGCATTTGAGTCAGTTGTCTCTTTTTGACAAGATTTAGGTGCTTATTGGTCAGATCTGTTTACTAAACTTTAGGAATCTGACCCTTTCAGTGAAACCCAGAATGTGAAGGTAGGAGCTAACATGCTTGGTAGTATTAGTGGGAATAGTGACAGCTCAGTCAGTCCAGCAACCTTTGTGCGAAGCAGATAGCCATTTTTAGGTTATACTAAGGGTTTTGATTGTCTTGTAAATCAGCCAAGGAAAGACTTTGTCAGGGAAATATTTCATGTTCAGATTCCCCAGTAATTATTTCATACTTCAATTTGGAGCAGTGCTATTCCGCTGTAACTTTTTTCTGTTGCTAGTGCTGTATTTAAGGAGACTCAAGTATGTTTAAATCTGTAATATAAGATTCTAATACTAATCATAGAATCATAGA